GAAGAAAATAATTCAGTAGCCTAACACAGGGTCAGGACGATGAGGGGCGAGTAGGTCTGAGTCAATGAACAGCATAAAGAACACTAATGGGCGGAGGTGCTGATTGAGAGCAAAAGAGACAGGAGATGGGAGTAGAGGATCCAAGTTGTAAGCACCACTTCTGCCACCAGGTGGCGTCTGCAGACGCGACTCCAGCATCTACCGGGATTTTCTTCTTCGCTGTGACGTGTATACATTTATGTATCTTCCTCTCTTTTTCATTCTCTTTCGACGTGGATAACTTTACAGTTTGGCCCCTAAGATGCACAATAGTGAGATATGATCAAGACGAAACTAGAAGAAGGCATTACACGGAGATCCTGAACTTAGAGGTGAGCCGTACCTGTGAGACCTCAAGCTGTCTCCTGCACCTGACGGGCTCACAACCTAGTGGCTTGAGCCCTACTCAGAACTGCGATGTGTTTGAAGGGAATACTGGCAAGGCGTGGAAACTATAAAATAAAGGGCAAAAAGAGTTCAGTGGATAGTGATCAGCCAGAGAGATGAACTGTCATAAGAGAACAGAGTACACTTCAGTATCCATAACTTCAGCAGGACCAGAGGATGAGGTGAGATAAGCAGCCCCTGGGAACCCAGGAGATCATAAAGACCCCTCCCTTGCTGCCTTGAAGCCTCCGAGGCTCCACACCACACTTGATGTAATCTTGGTCAGGAGAATGGAGGGGAGGGGGCCTAGAAGGAGAAAGGCAATCTTATCACACATGCTTCACTTCCTGTCCCCACCTAAATAAGACAGAGGCTGGACAGTCAGAAAAAATTTACAAGCTGCAATTGTTACAAACCCCAATTTGTCACTTGACCCTTCTTGGGGAATGGAATTTGTGGGCTAGGTAACCAATGGAATGGATGGGGCTCTCTACTATAGCTGTTTGCCCAGAATCTTGTGCCCTTCTTTGGGTAATAAAACCCACTCTGTTCAGAAAGGGATCACTTCCCATTTCATGAGACCCCGGGTGGGGCTGTTCACCCCAGAGTTCCACCCAGTACCGGTCCTGGGCAGGCGACTGGAGGATACAAGCTCTGTCAGCCTAAGTATGTATGTATGTATGTATGTATGTACGTATGTAAGTATATATGTAGTAAGTATATATGGGGGATTTGTTTGGATTTGGGTTTTGTTTGTTTGTTTGTTTGGGTTTGGGGGGTTTATTGTTGTTGTTTGGTTGTTGTTTTTGGTTTTGAGACAGAGTCTCCCTCTCCTGCTGGGCTTAGGAGCTTCTCCTGCCTGGGCCTCCCAGTGCTGGGACTGTAGGCACGTACCACTGCCCTGGCCTCTCTCTGGGGAGTTTGAATCTTGAGTGGATCCCTGCCTGCTCTCTGCTCTGGCTCCATGGTTGTGGCTCCTCTGACCCTGATCCAGGACTGTGAGCCCTTTTGCAGAATCGAGATGTCTATCTTTGTGACTTGGACAAAAGTAATACATTATAGAGATACAGGAGATTTTCAGGCCTTCAGGGGCAAGAGTACAACCAGCTGAGGGAAGTGAGTGTGCATGTGTGTGTATGTGTGTGTGTGTACCAGATCTGAAAACCCATTGGGAAGTCAGCGCATGGCCAATGACTGTGACTGACTGATCCGTCCTTCCATCCCTCTGTCAACTCATTCAGTTTCTTCATCAACACAAAGAAAACTCCCTCCAGGGCTTCCCCACTTCCATGTAACAGACAAGCTTGAGAGGGGCTGTCAGACACAGATCTATGTCCCAGGAGGGGCCTTGGCTCAGATGCCATCCCTTCTCCTGTCTTTTGTGGTGAGGAGCAGAGATGGCTTATTTATTAGCACGGCTGCCAGAGGCTCACCCTGTACGACTGGAGTAGATCATAGAGAAGTTAAATGGCAGTCACCCAGAGGAACTCCAAGGTCACTGTGCCTCAGCCCCCCTCAACAGGAGGCATGACACCACCCCATGAATGGATACTGACCAGGAGAAATCTTACCTTTTTTTTCTCTTTTTTGTGGTCCAGGAACTCACATGTGCTAGGCGAGTGCTCTACCACTGAGCTACACCCCTACCCTGCTTTTTTTTTTTTTTCTTTTTGAGATATAGCAGCTACATTATATAGACTCGAATCATAAGCATACAACCAAATGGATTTTGCATCTGTTTTCAGTACTCTAGATCAAGGCTGAGAACAACTCCAGCACTCTATAGAGGGCTCTCTCAGGGCCTCCTTCTCATCAATATCCCCCAGAAGGGGGATGAGAAGTGTCCCACTTTCCCAACTTCCCTCACAATCAGTGAGTTTTGCTTCTTCTTGACCTTCAGGTAGATGGATCATGCAGTCTGTGTTCTTTGTCTATGATTTTTTTTTATCTTATTTATTTATTCTGATTAGGTATATATGACAGCAGAATACATTTCGATTCATTGTATATAATAACTGCAGCACAACTTTTCATTTCTCGGGTTCTATAACTTTTCATGTTCAACATTATGCCAGAAAAATTGTCCCATATGATTGAAATAAGATCAGTTTTAATTTGTTTAAAAAAAATTTTTAAATTAAAATAATTATCTCTTTAAAGACAGTCTCACTATGTGGATCAGGCTGGACTCAAAATCCTGGGCTCGGGCTGGGGTTGTGGCTCAGCAATAGCGTGCTTGCCTAGCACGTGCGAGGCCCTGGGTTCCATCTTTAACATCACGCAAAAATAAATATTTACTTTTTAGTTGTGTCCAACTACAACTAAAAAGTAAATATTAAAAAAAAAAAAAATCCTGGGCTCAGGTGATCCTCCCACCTCAGCTCTGAGTAACTAGGACTACAAATGTGTTACCGCACCCAGTTGGTTTTTGGGGTTGTCTTTTGTTTTGGTTTCTTGAGAGGGAGAACCCCAGAAAGAAACTCTATTCATTTATCTAGAAGTGTTATGGATCAAAGCCTGGGCCTTGGGCATGCGAGGCTAGTGTTGTACCACCAATCCACACCCCCAGCCCCCAATCTCTCTTAGATTAGAAGACTGGCTAACCTTATGAGGTTTGGGTACAAAAAGTATCTAATTTTTGCTTATGTTTTGAAAGCACATAGATCTGTCAGAGCTCTCTTTGGTGTTCTTTGCATTTGTAATGGCAAAACCTCCAGTCTCGATCCTCTGGGAAGTTGGCGGTGGCCAGTTGGGGACAGGACTGGTGCATGCTCACAGCTCCTCTGGTTTCTTCTGCAGCCTCCTGCCTTGACTTGGGAGAAGGCACCATGATTATCTCCCTGTGGCTCCCCTCCCACTGGCAGGGGGTGCAGATGGGAGGCAGTGGGTAGAGGAAAGAGGGGCCAGGCTGGGCTCAGGTCAAAGTGGTTTCAAACACTGACTCCCCTAAAGTGAGAGGACAGTGTTTCTCTCTGTAAGCAGGTGGGCTTCTCTTATTTGGAGTCTCCTGGCTCGTTCCTCCGTATTCCATGTCGCAGGGATGGGGGGTGAGGGAAGCAGGTGGTGTTCTAGGAGATGAGTCCCTGACATGTAGTGGGAGCCTCCACATGGGGTTCCATATACTTTAATTTACTTGATCCTGACCTTAAGAAGTAGGAGTCATCATCACCTTGAGGTAGGTAAGGGAAAGAGGCTCAAGGAGTTTGCAAAGTTTAAATCACTCATCCAAGGTCAAGGAGCTAGTGAGTGTTGAGTTCCGAAGCACAGAATGGAAGCTGTGCTCCAGGCAGCCCAATCTGGGGCCTCCCAGAGGGGCTGTTTCCACCCGAGGATGGGGCAGGAAGGAGGGGGTGGTGTGTGCTCTGGCCGCAGCGCCTTGACCTGCAGGGAAGCTGCTCTGTTTGTACACCTGAGTCCACGCGGGCAGCTGCGCCCTTCCCAGCCTCCAGCCTTGCTCCCCCTGAGGTTCCGGCGACCTCCTCATTCCCATCCAAAACTTGTGACTGCTCATGCCAACGTGTGGCCTTGGGGTGGGAGGACTGGAGCCTTAACTAGAGGGATGTTGCAATTGCAGGTGGGGAGTGAGGTGGGAAGGGAAGGGGAGAGGTCGCTGGAGAAGCCCCTCCTGAGGGCCCAAACTGCTCCTGTGGGCAGCCCTCTGGAACGAGGGCAGAGGCGGTGGGCCAGACGGAGAACAGAGACCCTGGCCAGGGCTGAGGAGCTGGCCGACCCCAGGGACCTGTGCCTGCATTAGAGGCCTGGGAGGACAGGAGGCTGTGACTCCTCCTTACCTGAGCCGGGCACTGCCAAACACTGGGTGGGACCAAAGTGGGGCCAAAGGCAGGGCTGGGACTAGAGTGGAGGAGGAGAGGCACCTAGGACACAGAATGCCATCAGGCCCTCCCTCCCAGGTGCCTCTCATGCCCCACCCCAGTCCCTGCCCTGCCCAGGAGCTCAGGGTCAGAGGGCAGCTAGGACTCAACCTCCTTGCAAACCAGACCTGTTCCAAGCCCTGTGCATATGGTCATATGTAACATAGGTGGAGTTTGCTAATTCTATAATTCTGTTACTTCATTCAACACATACCTGTGTGTTAGGTTGACCCTCACAGTTCTTGAAATTATCCCCATGGACAGATAAAAAGACTGAGCCAGAACAGTTAGGTAACTTGTCCGCTAACAACTTGTGCACCTAAGTATTCAAAGTCCATTATTTTTCTTTCTCTCTTTATTTATTTATTTTTTCAGGACTGAGGATTGAATCAGGGCCTTGCACATTCCTGTACCACTGAACCACACCCAGAGTACACGCTCTTAAACATAATGCAACATCGCATGTGTGCATTCCCCCCCCCCTCACACACACACACACACACACACACACACACACACACACTCACACACCCCAGATGCTGTCTAGCCACCTTATCAGGACCTCCCCGCCCCCAGCAGATTGGCCACAGCTGTGCTTCTGCTCACGGAAGGCCCTGGGGCATGCAGAAGAAGGTGGGTCACATGTGGACAGGGCCCCTTTTAAGGCCCCACCACCCCAGCTAACTCCGTCTTCTGCCACCTGACCTGCCGGCTGCTACCCACACCAGCTGTACCACTCACCATGAAGGTTCTTGTCCTTCTGCTTGTCACCCTTGCCGTGGTCTATGCAGCTCCTGACCCCCGGGGAATCCTAATCAACCTGGTAAGGGGCTGTGCAGGGGAAGTACATCTGAGCCTCCAGGCGGGGATTTTGTGAGTTTGGATCTTGGCCTCTGATGTCCTCAGCTGGAGCTGCTCAGGGGCTCTTTTCCTTGATGGCTCGGTCCCCTCCTGCACCTCTTCCCAGGGTGCCCCCAAAAGACTTATTGACAGTTCAGACTCAGGCTGGGATATGCTCAGAGCAGGGTGGTGGCAGAGAAATGACCCTGGGCTGGGGTTGGGACCCATGGGGTCCAGACAGATGAAAAGTCTGGTGTGAGGAACTAACGACTTGAGCCAGAGCCAACCCTGTGGATTCTAGTACTGACTGTAGCCCACGCCCTGGCCCCATGTTCCCATCTGGAATGTGCCCAGTTGGCCCCAAACAGGGTCTCCCCATGGCTCCAGCTCCCACACCCAAGGCTCCTATGAAAGCTGAGACACCCTGCGAGGCTCTCCTCCCCGGACAGGCTTTTGCATAGTGACCCAGGGGCATCCAGGACCGTCCACACCCATCCCGTCAAGAGGGAAGAAGTGTGGCACTGGGTGGCCGCTGCACCCTGGCTGTGAGGAAGCATTCTACAAAATCAGAGCCTGGAACCCTGGCTCAGAGGGTCCCATGCTCTAGAAAGCTTCACTTGTGCATGGCATGGTGGCACATGCCTGTAGTCCCAGTGGCACAGGAGGCTGAGGCAGGAGGATCACAAATTCAAAGCCAGCCTCAGTAATTTAGGGAGGCTGTAAGCAACTTAAAGAGACCCTTTCTCTAAATAAAACATAAAAATGGTTGGGATGTGGCTCAGTGGTTAAGCACTCTGGGTTCAACTCCGGGTACCAAAAAGAAGAGAGAGAGAGGAAAAAAAAGAGAGAGAGAAACAGAGAGGAAGCTTCACCCACGATCCTGGTTTCTGACTTACAGTGGCTCACTCCTATGCGCCAGATACAGTTCTGAGTGCCTGGCAATAACACCAGGAGACTATTCTTATCCACCACCCTCACATGGAGAGAAGTTAAGCACCGGCCTGAGTCACACAGCTGGAAAGGGGTGGCATTGGAATTGGCGCTGGGGCAGGCGAGCCCCAGGTTGTCTCACCTCCACAGGTCACAGCAGGGCAAGTCCCACACGGCAGCCACCCAGTGCCAAGGTTCTTTCCCTCCTGGCAGGGACAGGCTTGGAGGGTCCAGGATGCCCCTATGATGCTATGCAAAAATCTGTGGGGGGAGGGGGAGTCTTGAGGGGTGATGGACTTCAATTTTCAGACTCCTCAAAGGAATGTGGGAGCCGGAGCCACTGGGAAACCCTGTTTTGGAGTCATCTGTGCAACCTCCAGAGGGGATCACTGAGGCCCAGGGAGTTGGTAGTTACAGCCAGTACTAGAAGCCTTGGGTTCTGACCCAGCCCAGGACTGCCTCTCTGCCACCACACTGCCCACTCCTCACGTGGGTGGAGTGCAGAGAGGCCACCAGACCCAGGGGCTGGACTCCTTCACACATGCTCCTTCTGAAGGAGGTAGTGTCGGGGATGAGTGGGACGGGGGCTGGTGGCGAAGGGCATGGGGAAGGGCGCTGGGCTCACTGTCTGTCGCTGCAGGAAGATGGCGAGATCTGCATGAACAGTGCCCAGTGCAAGAGCAGCTGCTGCCAACACTTCAGCCCCCTGGGCGTGGCCCGCTGCACACGCAAGGCCAGCGAGAACAGCGAATGCTCGCCCAAGGTGGGGACTAGGGAGTTGGCAAGAGGGGACGGAGGATGGTCCTTGAGGCTTGGGATGGGGTCAAGGACCTTGAATACTGAGGGTATGAGCAGAGAGAGGTCAAAGGTGTCAAAACACAGTCCCATCTGCCACACCTCAACCCTCCTAACTGAGATGGGTGGGGCAGGGAATCCTTACTTCCATTTCATGGGTGGATAAGTAAAGACTCCCCAGAGAAATCAAGTTAGTAAGAAAGCCAGGTGTAGTGGTGCACGCCTATAATCCCAGCGGCTTGGGAGGCTGAGACAGGAGGATCAAGAGTTCAAAGCCAGCCTCAGCAAAAGCACGTAATAAGCAACTCAGTGAGACCCTGTCTCTAAATAAAACACAAAATAGGGCTGGGGATGTGGCTCGGTGGTCAAGTGCCCCTGAGTTTAATCCCCAGAATAAAAAAAAAAAAAAAAAAGTAAGAGTAAGTCACAGTGGAGACCAGACCTGAGCCTCTCGGGCCCACAGCGCCCCCTAGGGAAGCCATCGGGAGAAACACCCTCTGAAAAGGGAGGGGGCTGCTGGTTCTCCCTCCAGGCAGGGGCAAATGATGCCCAAAGCAGCCCCCCACAGTCTGTGATTCCACTGGCTCTGGCTCTGCAGACACTCTATGGGATTTACTACAAGTGTCCCTGCGAGCGGGGCCTGACCTGTGAGTCGGACAGGACCATTATTGGCGCCATCACCAACACCAACTATGGTATCTGCCTTGATGCTGGACGCTCCAAGGAGTAAGACCACCCCTGACTCCTGCACCTAGCCCGGCAGGCTGCGCAGGACCCTTCTCTTATTTCCCATCTCTTATCTTCGGCTGGCCACCTCCTTGACCAGCACCTCTGTCACCTGACTGGGTTCTTGGCAATAAAACCTGCCTGCAAACCTTCCCTGCTCCTGTGTGTCCTTGCTGGGTCAGGGTCTCCCTTGATCCTGCATCAAGCCTTTGCCCACCAGGGCGGGTGTCCAGCAGGCCAAAAATGGAGGGAAGGGTCCAGGACCAGGAAGGATGTGCTTGAACAGATTGGGGACTAAAGGCAAGGCCCCGGCGGGCCAGGAACTTCTTCATTTCTGGGAGCAATTATTCCGCTCTGGGAAGATAGGCAGCAAGAACATGTGTGCGCGCATACACCCCCTCGGGCACGGAGTTCCCTTGGCCCTTATTTCCTGCCCTACATCGGAACTCTCCAATCCCTGTCTTGGTTCTTACCTCCTCCAGGCCCGGCTTTCCGATGTGACAGCTGACACAACCACGTGTAAGACCTCCAGCACAGGGGTCAGATCCCAATTGTTCTGGGCTTACTCTCTGTCCTAGAAAGTCCTCACAATGATCCTGGGAGGGAGGTTTTATCATCTCTATTCCACAGATGAAGAGACTGAGTTTCAGAGAGATTAAGGATATTGCCCAAAATAACATAAATAGACAAAGGTGGCACTCTACCCACCCAGCTCCACCCTGACCCTTTCTATAATTCCCTAATCTTTTAAAAATATATATATATATATATATATTTTGTTTTAGTTGTAGGTGGACACAATAACCTTTATTTTATTTTTATGTGGTTCTGAGGATTGAACCCAGTGCCTCACACATGCCAGGCAAGCGTTCTACCACTGAGCCACAACCCCAGCCCTCCCTATTCTTTCTCAACACACAAAATGAGAAAAATGATCAGAAATTGTAGCAAATTTAATTTTTGGTCAATTCAAAAATAGTAGGGCTGAGGATGTGGCTCAGGGGTAGAGTTCTTGCCTAGCAGGCACAAGGCCCTGGGTTCAACCGCCAGCACCACACACACACACACACCCCACAAATTGTATACCCCTCCAGAGCCATCAAACATGAGTTGCCTCACCACAGTGTGCCAGCAGAAGTTCAAGGATCCGCGGGTGGTGGAAACACTGGAGAGGAGATTCACACAAAGAATAGTGGATAAGGGACAAAATAAAGTTTAGATGCCTCCCAGCCCCAGGATTTTGTAGTTCTGTGATCAATGAATCTCCTAGTAACTGAAAGCAAATGAAAGGGAATACAGAAAGAAAAAGAAATGGAGACAGACTTCAACAGATCAGTGATGCCTTATTAAAAGCAGCAGAGGGACACATTTTCAAGAGGGAAAATGGTGACAGGCAATAATAAGGGTCTGAGTTTCACAGGGTTTAGAGGGGCTGAGTCCTGGCAGGAAGTGTGTTGGTTACAGCTGGAGGGAGACCTTGGGCAGGCAGGGGGACGGCTGTAGATAGGGAAAGTCAACAAGTTCAGAGCCCAGTACTTTCACCGTAGCCAAAGGCAGGAAGCGTGGAGCAGAGGGAGGGTGCGGTGGGGGCTGAGGAGTGGGACGGTTCTCAGGGTGTCCCTTCTTGTCTTTCCCCAAAGCCTCAGGCAGACTTTCCTCCATGGGGCAAAGGTTAGAACTGGGGCACCTGACCGCCTCTAGGTGCCAGAAAGGCTGAGAAGCGAAAGGGGCTTCCACCATCTTACTCCACCGGGCGTCTCAGGCCTAGAAGGAGGGGAAGGTCAGGTCACATTCCCTGGTGCACAGACTCAGCTCTGGGAGGGAACCACAGTCATGTCTTCTTCCTAGATCTATAGAGTGACCACTGTGCCCAGCAGTGAATTAGACTATGGAGAACATGAGGAAAATGTCCCTGATTTCCAGGAGTCACTAAAGGATTGGGCTCTGCAGAAGCAAGTGGCCAAGCTGCCCCACCCCCACCCGCCACCCTGCCCTCAGTTTCCCTCTGTTAAATCCCTTTTACTTAAAATACCTGGAGTGGTTCTTATTTAACTGCCCTGAACCTGACATTTGTGGGGGAAGCTCTCTGAGCCGTGGCTGTGCGTGGCAGAGAGGGAGAATTTTGTCATTGTGGCTGACACCTGATCACACTTGCCTCTCACCAAGCCTGGAGCCCAGAGGTGCCACCTTTTCTAATTCACATGAAGATGTCACACAGGCTACAGCCTTTCACTGACACTTTCCACCTTCCTGTCCTAACCCCAGGAACTCCTCATCTTGTGGTTGCCTTTTTTCTAGATCTATGAGATATTCACTATGGAAGCAGGGGTGTGTGTAGCTTTGAGCTCGTAAAAAAAAAAAAAAAAAAAAAAAAAAAAAA